AAAAGTAGCCAAGAAGGTTTCAGGGTCGGAGAAAGCCCTCATGCAGAAAATGTACATGCTGGCATTTACAAATCAGTCAGATATGCATTGATGTGGGTGGAATAAAAGGACATAGAGAGGAATCCACTAAATCCATCCAGTAATAAATAAAATAGGAAAAAAAAACACTGTTGAGATAAGTTAATACTTTTATTTTACCACTGTTTCTTTAGCCTTTTTATTCAGTCATCTACTTGTGTACATTAGGTAGGTAGTGTGCAAATTTTACAGTGTGCATTAACTCAAGTTCAATATTTGTAGTAACTAAACCATGCCTTGTTTTTCATCTCCCTGCTATTCCCTCCCTTTTCCCCAATTTCTCTGTGTATGAAGCTCGACTGACTTGTCAAAAGCTACCTCAAATGATACTTTTACAATAAAATCTTTCCTAAACTTTAGTTAGAATCTATCACTTTCGCGGGCGGTGGCCACGCCGAACCCAGCACTTTGGAGGCCGGGCGGGCGGACACAAGGCAGGAGATGAGACACGGTGAAACCCGTCTACTAAAATACAAAAATAGGGGGGTGTGGGCCTGTAGTCCCAGCTATCGGGAGGCGAGGAGGAGAATGGCGTGAACGAGGGAGTTGCAGGACGAGAGCGCACCCAACTGGGAAGACGAGACTCCTTCAAAAAAAAAAAAAAAAAAAAAAAAAAAAAAAAAAAAAAAAGAATCTATCACTTTCTACTGGCTGCTCCTGTAGAATTTTGTCTATAGTTTTGTTTTGTCATCTTATCACGTTATATTATTATTTACAATCTGTCTGTTAACATATTGTGAACAGGGCTGGGTTCGGTGGCTCACACCTGTAATCCCAGCACTTTGGGAGGCCAAGGTGGGCAATGAGGTCAGGAGATCGAGACCATCCTGGCTAACATGGTGAAACCTTGTCTCTACTAAAAATACAAAAAATTAGCCAGGCGTGGTGGCGGGTGCCTGTAGTCCCAACTACTCGGGAGGCTGGGGCAGGAGAATAGCTTAAACCCGGGAGGTGGAGGTTGCAGTGAGCCGAGATCATGCCACTGCACTCCAGCCTGGGTGACAGAGCAAGACTCTGTCTTTAAAAAAAAAAAAAAAAAAAAAAAAAAAATATATATATATATATATATATATATATATATATAAAAATACATCGTTAAGATAATTTCTGTCTTACTCCTTTTTACTTATCCTGCAGTTGTCACAATAAAGGTTTACTCACATAATAAGCAAATACCTAAATAGACATGTCTGATTTTCTTACAATTTCTTACAATTTCTGATTTCTTACAATTATGAAAGTGAATCTTTCTTTGAAAAAAATCATAAATGCCCCACATTTTTCAATGTACTTTTGGACATTTCTTAATAACTATGTTTTTATAAATACAGACCATTATTATTATGTATGTTAAAGCACTTACAATTTTAATGTGTAGACATAAAATCACATCTTATCAAACTATCAAATAATTTTTTAAGATAAAATTTATGAGTTTCTAATAAATATTACAGTATTGCTGCCCAGAAAGCACTAATAAAAATAAATTAATGGTATCATTTGTTACTTTAAAGGCTAGGAATTTCTAATATAAAGAAATGTAAGGAATAGTTCATAAGAACACATCCACTTCAAATTGTAAAAAAGAGTTATCTATTGTTAAAGCGAACTAAATATGGCCTGGGAAGGACTCTATACTTCCACATTTGAGTCCTTGTAGATGAACCATAACCTAACTTAATAGGTCGACAAGGTTGAAAATTAATTTAGGAGTATGCACCTGTAACAATCGCTGATGGAACAATCGCCAATCCAGCCAGCAGCCATACTTCAGCCACTCATAGGTTGCTTGAGTGTTCAAACTGTTCAAGTAAGGCAAACTTGTAACCAATCCAGTTGTTTCTGTAACTCACTTCCGGTTTCTGTACATCATCTTCCTTTTTTTTTTGTCTATGAATCTTCTTCCACCATGTGGCTGTGCTGGTCTCTCTGAATCTGCTCCGATTCCGGGGGCTGATCCACGAATCATTAATTGCTCAATTAAACTCCTTTAAATTTAATTCAGTTGGCTGGGTGCGGTGGCTCACGCCTGTAATCTCAGCACTTTGGGAGTCTGAGGAGAGCAGATCACCTGAGGTCAGGAGTTCGAGACCAGCCTGACCAACATGGGTGAAACCCCGTCTCTACTAAAAATACAAAATTAGCTGGGTGTGGTGGTGCACACCTGTAATCCCAGCTACTCGGGAGGCTGAGGCAGGAGAATCGCTTGAACCTGGGAGATGGAGGTCACAGTGAGGCGAGATTGTGCCACTGCACTCCAGCCTGGGCAACAAAAGCAAAACTCCATCTCAAAAAACCCCAAAATTTAATTCAGCTAAAGTTTTTCTGTTAATAGTGTGTTATTATTTAACCTTTTTATGAAAGGCAAATAATATAAACAAGAACTTGGAATATTTGTGAATAATGTATAAATGAATGGTTTCTGTTTATTCTCTGTATTCTGTTAAAAGTTTTTGCTCTGGTCAATATATCTGGCCAATCCTGTATAATTTAAAAAGCAAATTTGATGCATGTGCAACTTTATTTTTTTTGAGGCTATTTGTTACAGTGGAAATTGCATTAACAAGCCTCATGCAGCACATGTGGTGCCCAGAGCATTCTTCTGAAAGTTACGGTTTTGAAGGCAGTCGTTGGGGCGACATTGTCCTAATTAAAGTTCTCGGGCAGTTTTGCCGACGTTCAAAACCACCTTCCATTTTTGTCATTTTGTGGTAATATCTATCATTTATAAAAAGGAATTCCAACACCTTTTTCTTTTTTGAGATGGAGTCTCGCTCTGCCGCCCAGGCTGGAGTGAGTGGCGCGATCTCGGCTCACTGCAACTTCCATCTCCCAGGTTTCACCGTGTTAGGATGGTCTCGATCTCCTGACTTCGCGATCCGCCCGCCTCGGCCTCCCAAAGTGCTGGGATTACAGGCTTGAGCCCCTGCCCCCGGCCCCCAACACCTCTTGTCTGTGATAATCTCCCAACGTTCCTGGTCAAAGCAGTTTGCTCCCAAATTCCCAGACGTGGTCTTGGTGGGCAGCAGAGCTCCACTGCCGCACTTTCCCGCTGGGTTTGTTTAACGTGTAGCTTTACCCACCTTGAGGCAGAACTGCGTGTGCCTGTGTTGGTGCCGACGCATGACCTGTGGTGCACGAAAGGAGAAAAGGTGAATATCTCCCCACACCAGACCTCCGAGGTTCATAAATTATTTATCACATAATTCAACGTGCTGCCCCACTGGTCAGGGCCAGTTTCCAGTACGGAGACAAGGACACTTTAATCACGCTCTTCCCTGTAAAAGAGAAAGATTGGCCTTTCACAGAGAGCTGTGATAGGGATAGGAGAGGGATGTGACTGCAGGGAAACCTCCACTTAGAATAGGAGTTGCTCATCAGTTCTAGACCCAACTGCATGGACTTAGGCAGTAACAGCATTAACAGCTCCTGAAGAGTTTGCCTCTGTCACCAGCCTTGTGTGGGTCTTTATAACAAGCAGGACATGGATACACATGTCTCTGTTTCATAATCAGAAAAGTATCACCATTTTCCTGGGACAAAAATAGGTAAGTTTAAACATTTTTAGTGCCAGGTCAGTAGTCACAACTTACCAATAGCATTTTTTATTTTAAAAATATAGCTAGTGACTACACCATTGGCTAACAAACTGAGACTTAAAGCATTTTCTAGATGCAAATGCTATAAATAAATTATTAGGTATGTTCACTAATATTTACAAACTTAACTTCATATATAAAGCAAGGTAAATCACCAGTGTGGCCATGCAAACAGGGTTTGAGGATTCCCATATTTACAGCAAGCTTGTCCAACCCACAGCCCATGGGCCGCATGCAGCCGGATGGCTTTGAGAGAGGCCCAACACAAATTAGCAAATTAGTAAACTTACTTAAAATGATGGGATTTTTTAAATTTAAATTTTTATTTTTGCCATTTTTTGCTTTGTTTGGTTTTTAGCTCATCAGCTTTGTTAGTGTATTTTATGTGTGACCCAAGACAATTCTTCCAGTATGGTCCAGGGAAGCGAAAAGATTGGACACTCTTGATTTAAAGGGAAAAGGGGTGGGCAGTGGAGGAAAGGGGAAAAAAAGAGAGAAGGTAGACAAAAGCGGTAAGTGGTTACAGTTTTCGGAGGCTTTGATTAACACTTTCTGGATCTACATTTTACCTGTGAAACCAGTGGGTAGTGGAACAGTGAATTGTGCATTTGGCTCGTGCTCAGTGTGTCTGCATTTTTGCATAAGATAAAGTAAACATCGAGGAGGCGCTCAAATATACATTTCTCTCAGGTGAGCCAAGGGATGCCCTCTAGGCCTGTGTTTGTCAAGGTACCTTTGAAGATAAGCTGTTAGTTTGCATGCCAAGGTGAAATAGAATAGAATTCTGTTTTAGGGTAAAGATCTTGGGGCCCACGTGGAATTTCCTTGTGAGCAATTTGTGAAGGAGGCCACTGGCAGAGACATGTAGGCCTTCTGTCTTCACAGCTATCTACTTAGGAACAAAATGGAAGGCAGTTTTTTGCAAGACGCAGTTACTGAGCTTCACTTTTCCCTTTGGTGTAGTGAGTTTGGGGTCCTGAGGTATTTATGTTCCTTTCACAGCCTCACCATACTTGAATAAAAATTACAACCTACATGTTAAAACTGACCACATCACTCTCTCCTGTGTGTCTTCAAAAGATATAAGGCCCATCCAGATAATCCAAGATGATCTAATCTCAAAGCCTTAATTATATCTTTGATGACCCTTTTTCCAAATAAGGTCTAATTAGAGGTTCCTGGAATAAGACACGGACTTATCTCCCTAGGGGCCACCATTCAGCCTGATCCGGAAGGAAGGCCATGATTTCAGCTCTCTGGGATTTGAGACAAAGAGGCCCCTTTTCTTTCATTTTATCTTTTCATGTCTCTTCTTGCCAAGTACCCACATGATTGTGTGTGGGCTGAGGGTGAATCCAAGAAGGACTTTGTGTTGTGGTCAGTACAGGCTTTGGTCCAGGAGAGACAACAATACTTTCAGTACTCTTTGGTTCTGCCCCAGAGGAGCTCAACACAGAGAATTGCCTGGAACAAGAAACTGGGTAAATGTGCTTGGAACATACCCTTGTCTTCTCTTCTTTGGATTCTTGATTGCAACAGTCTTCTCTGCCTGGATATTCACATGGCCGTACACTCTCCGCCTTCTCTCCTGTATGTCATTGAATGTTGGGCCCACCTAGATAACCCGAGATGATCTCATCCTGACATCCTTAATTATATCTGCAAAGAACATTTTCCTAAATAAGGTCACAGGCACAGTTTTGGGGGACTAGAATATGGATATATCTTTTTGGAGACTGTGATTTAACTCACTATAGGCTAAATTCTCAGCCCTAAAGAGGGTCCTACACAAAGTGAGGGCACTCAATGGAAAGAAGGTCTCTGAGACATGAGATAGGAACATGTGAACGGAACCTTCAACCCACAGATTCTCCAGGACTGTCTGGTCCAGGAGAAGGGACTCCTCCCTCTCTCAGGTTCAGACCCCCAGGTCCTGGAGATTAGGCAAAGCCTGTGTTTGTTCTTTGCATGAAATTAAGTAGTCTTAGTGGTCCATTGCAGGGGTCTCTATTTGTGATTGACCTTTACGTATTTCTTGCTTTATGTACTTACCTATATGTCAAGCGCGTCCGTGCAGAGAGATCACCAAACAGGATTCACTTGGGTGCAAGTGGGCTGAGTCCGAACAGAGAGTCAGCGACGGGAGATGGGGAAGGGGTTGCTTTATAGGAGTTGGGTAGGTAACGGAAAATTACAGCCAAAGGTGGTTATCTATTGTTAGCAGAGGAGGGGGTTACAGGGTACATGGTGGGAAGATCGTAAGTCTCATTGTCCAGAAGAAGGATGTCACAAGGTCGATTGATCAGCTAAGGTAGGGCAGGGACAAGTCACAATAGTAAAATATTATAATGTTAGTTAATCAGTTAAGGCAAGAACTGGCTGTTGCACTTCTTTGTAGTGTTTTTCTTTGGCTGTTCCAGACTTCTTGGCTCCTGCAGGCCACCTGGATGTGTATGTGCAGGTCACAGGGGGTTATAATGGCTGAGCTTCAGCGTAGAGACCTGACACTATATTCTCTGTTTTTCTCTTGAATAAGGTAGTTTACTTATTAAATTCTTCCCTAAAGATGCAGCTCTTGAATTAAAAAGTACTACTACTACTACCATTTTGCTTTAATCACTAAGTTCTGCCTTGATTTTTTTGTCTTTTATGTTTTTGTCTATATTTTGTTGATATTTTAAAGTTTTTTCTTGTTTTTATTAATACGATTATTTAAGGCTCTAGAATTTCTTCTGAGTGCAGATCTACCTGGGTCATACAGAAGTTTTCATATGTGGTCAGTTTTACAAATATTCAACGTCTTTCTCTTTGGCCCTTAATGATACAAGAAAACTTTCAAAAACTTTATGTTTTATAGCGTTTTGGAGTTTTAATGCTTATTTAACTTCACTGAATTTTAATTAAAGAATAAAAAAATAGTTTTTAGAAATCATTGAAGTTTTGTGGTCTGAAATACAGTCTTTTTTATGATCTGTGGAATCTGAAGAAAAAAGCATTCTATATTTATATACAGATATAGATCTATATCTATATATATGTATATGTATATATAGTTGCACCAGGCCCCTGGCTGCAACTTTTCATACCCTATCTATAGATCTGTAGATCTATATCTATATCTATATATATTTTGAGGCAGAGTCTTGCTCTGTTGCCCAGGGTGGAGTGCAGTGGTGTGATCTCGGCTCCCTGCAAGCTCCACCTCCCGGGTTCATGCCATTCTCCTGCCTCAGCCTCCCGAGTAGCTGGGACTACAGGCGCCCACCGCGCCCGGCTAATTTTTTGTATTTTTAGTAGAGACGGAGTTTCACCGTGTTAGCCAGGATGGTCTTGATCTCCTGACCTCATGATCTGCCCGCCTCAGCCTCCCAAAGTGCTGGGATTACAGGTGTGAGCCACTGCGCCCAGCCTACTTTTTGTTTTAAGAGCACTGATGTTCTGTTATTTAATCTCTACAGTTCATAACTGGCATATCTTCATTGTGAATCACACACTTAATTTTTCTTTTCTGTTCCTTTTTCTTACTTCTGTGCTTTTTCTGCCCTGTGTATTAAAGAGAAGAAAATCAGTGATGCCATACAAAACACTCCGTAGTAGTCAGATCACAGCGATGGTTTTAACATTTGTGGTGCTGACCTTCTGTTCCTGTTCTTTCACTGAGTTCTCCCACCATCAGGCAGGTTCCATGCTCGTCACCAGGCCCCTGGCTGCAACTTTTCATACCCTATCAACATTTGGTTCACTGATGTTTGTTGTTTGCGAGATTTTTCAAGCAGTTCCATATAAACAATGTTCCCATATTTTTAAACATTCAAAAATCAGTTTGTGTTGCTTTTAGACTTGATTGAAAGAATAGTTAGTATAACATCTCTGGGTTGCAGTTTCTTGGTGCAAAATTTCACAGGTCTCAGCTCTTCCAATATTGAATACTGCTACACACTGACCTTGTGATTGCAGATTCAAGCTGCCATCAGCCTTGCAAGACACAGACAACTTTAATCTGATGCCACATTTACTGGACTTTAAAGGAGGACACAGGCCAGGAGACACAGCTGGTGCCCTGGGGCACCCACAGCTCCCTTTGCCCTCTCACCTATCCAGGGCCTGTGTGGCTGCCACAAACAAGAGTCAGGGTGCTTGTGGGCCACCTGGATAATCAGAAACCACAGCCTTGATTTCCCAACAATTTTTTATACTGTTTCTAGACACCAAGCTACAAGCCACATATTAATTAACAGCCCCCCTGTTCCAAGGGCAATGGAACATAGGTGATGAGGGAGACATTCCACATCTATTTCAAATCTGTCATTTCCAAGTGTGTCTGTTAGCTTCTGTTGATTAGGAAATTATCCCCACTTTAGTCACTTAAAACAGCAACAGTTTGTTAACCTAAGGATCTGCTGAAGAGTTCCCGTGGTCTAGACTGGTTCCCGCTAATCTCGCCCAGGCTTGCTCACGTGTCTGCAGTGCCGTAGCAGATGGCAGAGGGCGACTAGCCCCTCGTAGCCTGCCTGTGATCTGGTGGTTGGCCATTTGCCTCTGGCTCAGCGTGGTGATTGTTTCATTATTTTGCATTCTTCTGTTGTTGTTTTTTGTTGCGGGTTTATTTTATTTTATTTTATTTTATTTTATTTATTTATTTATTTTTTTGGAGACAGGGTTTCACTCTGTCACCCAGACTGGAGTGCAGTGACATGGTCTCAGCTTACAGCAACCTCTGTCTCTCAGGCTCAAGTAATCCTCCCGCCTCTGCCTCCCAAGTAGCTGGGAGTACAGGCAAGTGCCACCACCACCCAGCTAATTTTTGTATTTTTAGTCTAGATGGGGTTTCACCATGTTGGCCCGGGTGGTCTCGAACCTCTGGCCTCAAATGATCTAGCCGCCTCACCTTCCCAAAGTGCTGGGATTACAGGCGTGAGCCACCACGCCTGGCCTGTTGTTGTTAATAATGATAAAATATTTGGTTCAGCTTCTCAATGGCCACATTTTACAGTTTCGGATGCACTTTCTGGACTGGACTGGTGTAACTCTGCTTATTTTGCATTGTTTGAAGGCATTTATAATTAATTCTGATTCCTCATTTCAGACTATGTTTTGTTTTTCCTGAACCATCTCTTTCCTTGTAGGTAGAGGCAGCATTTCATAGAGGGCCAGGTCCCTGGCTAGGACAAGATAGAGCCACAGAGTCATATTCGGTCTCCAGCAGCCATTATTCTGCCCCAGCCTGCCGTTTGGCTGTGGTGGGTTTGGTGGCCCACGTCTAACTCTACCTCTGTTTCTAGACTGTGACCCGGGATCAGGGGAAATTAGTAGCCAGCCCGTGCCTCCAGTGCCACTGTGGCGAGCCCTGTAGGACGGGCCCCTCACACTGGGTTTTCTGGTGTCTGTGGCCTCAGTGTCCTCGCTTGGCTCCTCCCCACAAGTGGCCGTGCTCCGTTTGCCCTGGGCTGGCGGGCTTTTCCCTGTCCTGTGGTTTGGCGTTTTACCTCACTGCGTTTTCGTTCAACGTAGAATTCTCCTTTCTGTTTCAAGTTCTGTGGATGATTTTGGGAGAACGTTCTTTTTTTTTTTTTTTTTTTTTAATATATATATATATAATCTGCAAATATGCTCCCTTATTTCCCACCTCGACTTTTATCTTCCACTTTCAATCTTTTCTTTTTTTGGAAGGAGGTGGGATATTTTCAGAGTTGTATTTCCAAGAATCCTTTCAATTTCTCCATTTTTGCGCTTTATCACTGTGTGTGTGTGTGTGTGAGAGAGAGAGAGAGAGAGAGACATACAGCACACATATAGAAAGATGTGCAAAATGTAAATGTATATTTAACAAGTGGTTATAAAGCCATATAATGTGCAACAACCACACAGGTGAAGAAATAAAGTCTTCCTGAAACCTAACAGTCCCCCAGGTGTTCTTCCTCATGCTCCCACCCCAGTAACCCCAGGAGTCAAACCCTTTTCTGCCTTCAGTGTCATCATGTCTTAGCTGTGTTTATAATTTTACCTCCTATATATGCATTATGAAAGAGCTGCTGCTTCTTGCTATCTTTTTCTTGCTGTAGGTCTTGTATCTTCAGAGCTATTAGAAATAGGGTTCCGAATAAAACTTTTTCTGTTTCTGCACTCTCTCCCTTCTTCTGTGTTTCCTTTAATCTGTCAGATTGATTTTGTTCCACTCATGTGAAAACTCTCTCCCAAATGCCTCCTGATCTGTGGCTCTGCATTCATGAGTAAGTGTGATGCACTGGGAGATGACTGGGAGTCTCATGGGAGGGTGTGTATTGGCCAGTGGTCCCCTTAATGGAGTGGGCCTTTGTTGTTGGTCATCACCTGACTCCAGCGTCTAAAGGAGAATTTCCTCCTTGGAGATAACGTCTGACCGCAGCCGCCTGGGAGTCACAGAAACGGTCTTGTGTCCCTGCAATTAGAATGCATGTAATCACTTTATTTCTGAATTTTAGCCTCACCGAGTCCCCCATGG